TCTGACTGTTGGTTTTACAATCTCATTATCACAACCATGAGAATCAGACCGTGAAACCAACCGTCAGTCAGGCCGTAAATTCATAACAAAACACGAGAAGATATGTGAGAGGTTCAACTCCATTTGTTAAACACCAAGGCGAAGTACCTCTATATCCTACGAATACTATACCACTCCTTTGACATATCCGATTATACCAAAATTGAGTACACACAACTAGTCAACTATTGATTCATTTTATTTACATTAAAATATCATTATGCCGGCCTCCTCGAATCATATTGGAATGAGTTTCTTCATATAGCTCCACCACTGGAGATACATTATTTCCCTGCTTCTGTCCTTCAGCTGATAGAGTCGTCGATGATAATTCATAGCCATAAGATTACAATAGGTACTCAACATGCTTCCTCCGCCGGCCGGCCATCCTTTATTAGTCAACCGTTTTCAACGATACGGTTTGACACTAACGGCAATGTAGCCACTGCCTATATATCCACATGATCATCATTGACAATCTCTACACAGCAAAGACATTCACACTTAAAACATAGAGAAGGAAAACAATGGCAGCGCCTGGCAGTTTTGATTGCTGTAACTAAATGGAGGCATTACTTAGAAGGGCGCAGGTTTGTTATCATCACAGATAATGAAAGTTTAAAACATCTGTTGGATCAGAAGATTCACACACAGATGCAGAAGAAAGGGTTAGTCAAGTTGCTGGGCTTGGACTTTGAAATACAGTATCGACAAGGTAGATTCAATAAAGTGGCTGATGCCCTGTCTAGGCATCCCAGGTTTACCAATCAAGGGTCCTGCCAGGCCATGTCAGCCACTCTGCCTTCCTGGCTTGCTTAAATTGAAAGTACTTATGTAGGTGACTCTGTGGTGCAGGAACTCATGATGGAGGCTTCGGTTCCTTTGGTAGGTCCAAAACTATATTCTATGAAGCAAGGGCTTTTGTACCATAAGGCTGCTTTGTATGTGGGATCAGTGGGTGATATGAGGAATCAGCTAATGCAATTATTCCATGACTCCCCTATGGGTGGGAACTCTGGTCTACAAGCTAACTATCAGAGATTAAAGCGCTATTTTTGGTGGCCTGGACTTAAGAAGGATTTGAAGGAATATGTTCAAGCTTGTGACATCTGCCAACGATTGTAAGACTGAGAATGTCCCTTACCCTGGCTTGTTGCAACCTCTACCAATCCCTTATCAAGCTTGGAAACACATTTCCATGGACTTCATAGAAGGACTGCCTAAATCACAGGGTAAAGAAGTGGTGTTTGTGGTGGTCGACAGATTCTCTAAATACATCCACTTCTTCAATCTAGTTAAGCCCTACACTGCTATATCTGTGGCCCGGGTTTTCTTCGATGGTATCTTCAAGTTACATGGGTTACCACAGACCATTGTGTCTGATAGGGACTCCTTGTTTACCAGTACATTCTGGTCGACCTTGTTCCAGCTACAAGGTGTTAAATTGAATTACTCTACTGCCTACCATCCTCAGTTAGATGGACAAACTGAGAGGGTCAATCGCTGTTTGGAGGAATATTTGCGTGACATGGTTCATCATCACCCTCAGCAATGGGCTGGTTGGTTGACTATGGCTGAGTGGTGGTACAATACAAATTACCACACCAGTCTGCAGGGAACACCATTTGAAGCCTTATATGGCTATGCTCCTTCTCAATTCTCCATCACCAATCCCCTCTCCACTGCTGTAGCAGCTATGTCAGACAGACTCCAGCAACGACATAAGCTCATAGGAGTATTGCGTGCGAATTTAGCCAAGACTCAAAATCCCCAGAAGCAAATGGCAGATGCTCATAGGACTGAGCGTTCTTTTCAAGAAGGGGAGCGAATGTATCTGAAGCTTAGGCCTTACAGGTAGTCTTCTGTGGTTACCAGGTTAAATCAGAAGCTATCCCCAAAGTTTTATGGTCCTTTTGAGATTGAGAAGAAGATTGAAAGTGTGGCATACAGATTGAAGTTTCCTCAGGGGTCTGTTATACATCCAGTATTTCATGTTTCACTACTGAAACGTGCTCGTGGCCATCAGTATCACACGCAGCCTGTTCTCCCTGAGATAGATGATAATGGAGGATTGAAGGTGCAGCCAGCTCTGATTCTAGCCAGAAGGTTTGTATCCAGAAGAAATGAAGCAGCAAGGGAGATCCTGGTGCAATGGACGCATCAAGCTGACGAAGATGCTACTTGGGAGTTCTTGGACGAGTTCAAACGAAAATTTCTAGAATTCCAGACTTGAGGCCAAGTCATTTCTGAAGGAGAAGGGAGTTGTAACACTTGTACTTGAATGTAAAGAATAAAAGTAGTAAGTGGGTGATGGCAGAAGTACAGGGACTAAATGGGATAATTGGCAAATGTATATAATCCCGTTCTGTAACAACCTAACGGTAATCTGAGAATAATAACAACTTTCCCTCCTCTCTCTCTTCCCCCTCTCTCTCTCTCTTCTTCTTCTACTTTCCTCCTCTTCTTCTAGCTACTTCTATCGCCGAGAGTCTTCACCGATCCAGAACGTCACAGAAATTCATTACCTTCCATGTTCGACGAAGGCGCTTCCGTTTCTACAACACACGACATATTTTCGAGATAGGTTAGAACCGCCAGCAGAGGTCAGCTTACCAGCAACGTGCTCAATCGACAGCTTGGGAGAAGGAGCAGGCGAGAATAATTGATTGATAGAACCATCACGGAAGGAACCAAATTTTCGGATATATCGGGCTGTGAGGAAAGGAACCTAGTCGATAAAAAAGTATAGTGAGGTTTCAATTGAAGGATTTGAGTTTATCTTATGGAAAGGAAATCAGTTTGAAAATCGAGGCAAAGCAATCGGCAATGCAGCTGATAAATTTAAGACGCCAAAGTGAAAGCACAATAACGCCAAAAAATAGAGCTAGGGGGGGGGGGGGAATATTATAAGAACCCCTCCTACAGATAGACGAACAAAAAATTCTTAACCATAGAGATTTATTATAATTGAAAAGAATAGGCTTGAATAGGATAATTCCAAATTGTCCATACCAAAAAGTAAAAAAAGTAAAAATGTTACAAATGAGAACGTTTATATTTGGAATGATAATAGATTAATCATCATTATCTTCATCGTCGTTGTTAGACAATATGTCATATTCGTATTCATTTTCAAAATTCTCCTCTTCCGCTTCTTGAACAACATTTTTAGATGGTTGAATTTGCTTAATTACTTCCGACGGTACTTGCTCTGCAGGAACATCAGATCTTTGGAGTGCAATTTCATCATCACAATCCAATGATCTTGTTGCACGCCCTCACTAGCTCATCGATTCTTCCTCTTGAAATGCATCCTCCTCGTCATATTCATCAAGGTCCTCTTCTGCTTCAACATCATGGTTGGTCACCACTGGCATCTGGTACACGCCATGAGGTTGTACTTTCATCACGACTAACCAATTCGGATCTCGAGGATCTTCAATGTAGAAAACCTGTTCTGCTTGACATGCAAGGATAAATGGTTCATTAGTTTTCAAGCGACGATCTGCCCGGACGCTCATGATTGAGTACTCGTCTATAATGTACGCACTTTTACGCGAAACATCAAACCATTCACACTTAAATAAGTGAATCGTCCTTCTCCCTATATACTCCACCTCCCACACCTCCTCGAGAATTCCATAATATTCCTTTTGGGGAGAGTTGTCATCGCCTTTTGAGAGTACCCCACTATTTTGACCAGTATATTTTTTGTAGCGCATGATAGGTCCTCAAGCTAAATCAAGTAAATCTCCAGAAACATGGACATGACCTTGTTGTTTCAAATGAGTCACCTACAAATTCAATCAATTAAACTATATTAAGATTCACCACTAAATATTTATGGAGGAAAAATGTGTTATTATACTTACATGATCCCGAAGCCATGCAGGGAAGTCAGAATTGTACCGCTTTACCACATCAGAGTGTTTCATTGGAGGTAAACTAGCTTTGAACGACCTGTTAAATACGATTTTGTTATGAATCATGTTATGATAAGGATACTCATAGAAAATGTGATAGAAATCACTTAAGAAGCACTTACTCGATAAAAGGCCATACTTCTTTGCAGTTGTTTAGGACGTATAGGTGAGCCTTCCGTCTTCATTCAACATCTATGTCTTGGGGACATCTTTTCTTAATGGACGACCAACTTCATCAAATATATCCATTTCCCCGTTCCTACTCGAGCTTTCGTTGTCGTCATTTTTTCTTCGAGGCCTATTAAACTTGGTGTCAACCCCATAAAGATATCTTGAACAAAATGTCAAACACTCATCGCCTAATATGTTTCTGCTATGGAAGCCTCTGGATGTGCTTTATTACGAACATAAGACTTAAGGGTCCAAAAGTATCGTTCCACCGGGTACATCCACCTTGTTTGAACTGGTCCAGCAATCATAGCCTCCATCGGCAAGTGAATGCACAAGTGTACCATGAAATCAAAGAATGAAGGAGGGAATATCATCTCCAGTTTGCATAATGTCATAACAATTCAGGTTTGGAGGTCATCTAAATCATCAGCTTGTAGAGTCTTGCAACATAAATCTCTAAAGAATGCACTTAATTCAATCAATGGTTTGCAAACTTCCTTTGGCAGAATCCTCCTAATTGCTAGGGCTGGACGCTCGGTTATTGGTTGCCGGTTAACCGGCCGGTTAAACCAATTACCGGCGGTTACCGGTTAACCGACTAACTGAAAATTGTAAAAGTGGGCGGTGTTCGGTAGCGTGGCTAGCTATGCCGGTTAACCGGCTAACCGACGGTGATAATCGCCGGTTAACCAGCTAACCGACAAACCTAACCCCCTCCCCTCAATCGTAAAACAACCGCCTCCTCTTCCGCCTAAACCCTAATCTTGGCTGCGCCCCTCAAAATTCTGCTGCAAATCCCATTCCCCACAGCCAAACGCTGCGCCAAAATATATATATGCTTTCTCCCTCCAAACTCTGCGTTCCACTCAGCTTCTCCACTAAAAGAATCACTGCCCAGCTGCTCTCCAATTCCCTTCCGCCAATGCTCTTCACCCAAGGACAAAGGAGTTGGTCCATTTTAATCCAAGAATATCTCCTCTGCATCGCGAGACGCGAAGTCTCTCCTAGTCTCCCTGCCGCCTGCCCAACCCTCCTCCATCGACCATCTCGCTCTGCCGGAGGCTCTCCTCCTTTCCCCTCTATCGACCATCTCCCTCCCTAACTACCGCAACGACGACGACGACCTTTGCTCCGCCAACGCAAAGTCGCCGCTAGCCATCCCCTTCCTTCCGCCGCCGCGACCTCGCCTTAGCCTTATGATAGACCGTTAATTACACATGTTTTTACCCCTGTTCTTACACCGTTTGAGATGTGATTTCTCGTGGTTTAGACCGATTTCACGCTAGGTTGTGCTTGTTTGTGATGTTTCAGGTCCTAGTACGTGAATGAAGGCTTAGGAGCGAGTCTGGGGTCGATTGGACGAAGAACGGACGAATGGCGAGGTTTTTGGGGAGCTGCACGGGCAGACCAGGGAGGCTGCACGGCCGTGCACGTGAGCAATATGGCCGTGCGCCTTATGCCGAGGACACGCACGGGCAACCCCTGAAGCTCGCACGGCCGTGCACCCTGGCCGTGCGAGAGGGCTGAAGTTCGACTAAATGACACGCTGCGTTTTGAGTTGCACGGCCAGAATGGTGATATGCACGGCCGTGCACCCTGGCCGTGCGAGTCGGGATTTCCTGGTTTTAAGCCAAATTCCGAACCAAAGAGAGAGAGAGCTGGGTTTTTGGATCCCAAACACCCAAGGGACGAACCCTAGAGAGAGAGAGAGCGACTTGGGAACATTCTTGGAGCTATTTTGGAGGATTTCTTCGCCATTGGAGCTCGGGAATCAAGCTTGGAGATGGAGATTGAAGATCTAGATCAGATTTCTGCAGTCTCTCTCTTCTCTATGGAGTAACTTCCCTTCACTTAGGTTTTGAGGAACCCTAGTTCCATGAGTTAGGATCTTTCTTGTATGAAGTTTTGGATGCTATATTGTTTGATTATAATCGAATGATGCATGTTTATTGAGTCAATTGAAGTCTGATCAACTTTTCCTGATTCCTGCTGCAATCTGAGATAGATAGAATCTGATTAGGTTGTTAGAGCCTCATCATTCGGTAGTAGGAGATTGGCTATACGAGAGTTAGCCAGTTTACTGCTTTGTACTGGAATCCAATTCCAGTAGTGGAGTTCTGTTCTTACTGCTTCAGCTTTCTATCCCGGTGAAGACTAGTCGTCTGTCGGGTAGTCAGACTGAGAGGGCTTGGTCAGCTTAAGAGATTCCAAGCTACTGTCGGATCTTCCGCAGTTTAATCAACAGTAAAACAATCAAAAGGAATTACAACTTAGACCTAATTGAGGAGCTAGGGGGAATCATACCTAAGTGAGTTCCCAAACTGTAATTAGTACTTTTACTTAGTTTAGTTAGTAGAGTAGTTTAGTTAATCAATCCTTAATCTAGTTTGCTAGATAATAAACTGAAGCTAAGTAATAGTAACTCTAGAGACCCGTGGATTCGATATTTATTACTTGTGCCACTATACTGCAGTCCCTTTCATTGGTTACACTTGGCCATTGTTAGGTGTTGTGTTTTGGCGTGTCAAGTTTTTGGCGCCGTTGCCGGGGACTTTCTAGATTATTAGGAAAGGCAGAAGTTTGTTACTTTAGCGTTTTTCTTTTATTTTCTTTTCCATCCTTGCTTTTCACTTGGGTGTTTTTGTTTTTGTTGGTGCAGATCTGAATCATGGATCCTCATGGCTTCTCCAACCATTGGGGGTATCCACCACCACCCGAGTGCTATTACCCCGAGACTCCCTGGAGCAATCAAGGAGGAGAAGACTATGGATTCGGGTTCCAGTACCAACCCCCTTTCTACGGAGAACAACCAGACCCCTGGGCATATCAAGAACAATCTCCTTATCAAGAAGAATTCCTCCCACAACAAGAAGGGCCATCAGATCTTGAGTTACCCATGGCGGCCTTCACGGGCCACTCTGCAGAGCCATGCTACACTTCACTGGAAGATCCGAACAAACAATTAAGGCTTCTCGTGGAGCAGTTTGCTCGAGACACTGAGAAATCATGCTCCAAGATGGGTCTTCAAATCAAAGCCCTTGCTACTTCCGATCCCTCATTTCTCCATGATATGGAGGAGACTGTTCAGCGCTCAGCAAAGCAAACAGAGTGGGTGAAGCAAGTTTGCTCACATCTTGCTCAAGATCACCTTTCTGCTACCACGCTAGAAGAGGTGGAGGATGACAAAGGCTATGGGAGCGACCACACCTTTCCTCATTTATGCTCTAACATGCTGGGCCCGTGCGAGGAGATGCAAGATGATCCCATTGAAGAAATTGCTTGGCGACTTGCTCTCCAATCTGTTCTAGAAGAAGAAGAGCGAGCAAGGATGAGGAAGGAAGTTGTGGATGATGAGGAAGAAAGAAAAGAAGAGGTGGTTCTTGATCTTTTCCCAAGGGAGAGACCACATTTTGAAGAAGGAAGGGGGGTTGAGGAAGCAATTGGTGTCCAAGCTGAGGATGAAGCTGAGGTGGAAGAGGCCTGCACCGGCCATGAGTTACATGTAATATCTCCACCAAACTTCGAGGAGCTGCTTGGCAAGGACCCATTTGCAGTCTCTCTTTGCCAGACCAAGGCCACATCGACATCGGTCCCTCTTGGTGGACGCGATGGTGGCCAATCGATGCTGTCATATCTTGTTTGGGGCAATGAGACGAGAGAAGAGAAGAAGAGGTCTCGAGGGTGGAGACTTCATCTGCATCAAGTACATGAGCCTTCATCACCTGCCACACCACATGCTCGTGACTTGAGACTCCACCTCATCGACGAGAACCTCAACTTCAAGGAGGTTCTAGCATGGACCGAAACTTAGGAGCCATCGTCCGGCTCACGACGTGAAAGAAGCGCTTGTTGGGAGGCAACCCAACCAGTCGGTTTGCATTTCTTTCTCTATTTCTCCTCGGTTGAGTCAGTTTTGTTATTTGATTTTAGAGTCAATAACTCAACCTTTGTGAGATTTTGTGTGGTGTTTGTGTTCTGATTACTCTCTCTTCCTGGAATGCATCGCCTGACCCGTTCATCATCATTCACCCTTGATCTGGTAACTTCGTTCTACCCTCCTTATCTTTCCTCCATTGAGGACAATGTCGTGCTTAAGTGTGGGGGGATGTTCGATTATGTATGCGGGTGAATGTTTGGCTGTTTTGTTCGATTATGTATGCGGGTGAATGTTTGGCTGTTTGTGTGCTTGGAGCCTAGTCCACTGTCCAAATTTTTAAATTTGAGGGCTCCAAGTATGTGTTCCATGCAATTGCCTGCTCAGTATGCTTTGAATTGACAGTCTTTACAGTAATATGCAACCTAGGGAGGTAGTGTAGCACTATGGAGGATGTTGATGCATTTAAGAAGTCTCATTTCTTCTTCATATAAAGTTGGTTGATTGAGTGAATTAGTGATCTTAGGACCCTTGAATTGTGTGGTGTTGTGGATTTTCTACCTGACATGGACTCTTGTATCATGTTTTGAAAATAACAGGTGCTCGAAAATGTGCTTCAAAATAAACGTCTCCCGTGCGAATAGGGCGAAAGTGTGTAAGGGGAGACGGGAATTCGTTTCCAATTTCCACCTACTACCTCCAGCCCCCTTACATGTCTTTCCCCCGCACGAGGCTCGAGACATCCGCTCCTGGCATGGCCGGTAAGAGCAGGTTGGGACCCTTGAAAAGAAAAGAAAAGAAAAATAACAGAAAACAAGCAAAATAGAAAAAAAGGGGGTTCCAACCATCTTCAAGAATAAACTAGAGCACCTTGAAAAATGTGAGTCCATGATCTTTTGTTTTTGAGAATCTCTTCATCCACAATTCATTTGTCCTCTGTTCACTATTTGCCGTGATGCCGACTCGCCGAAGAAGTTATGAGATGACTTGTGCGTCGGTTGACCTCGTAAGTTGCTAAATGATCTAGGAAGTCCTCTACCTACGATCTGGGTTGTTTGTTGCTATAGAGGTCTGGAGAGTTGCATTGGTTTGAGTTAGGTTTGCTTGGGGACAAGCAAACGGTTAAGTGTGGGGGAGTTTGATAGACCGTTAATTACACATGTTTTTACCCCTGTTCTTACACCGTTTGAGATGTGATTTCTCGTGGTTTAGACCGATTTCACGCTAGGTTGTGCTTGTTTGTGATGTTTCAGGTCCTAGTACGTGAATGAAGGCTTAGGAGCGAGTCTGGGGTCGATTGGACGAAGAACGGACGAATGGCGAGGTTTTTGGGGAGCTGCACGGGCAGACCAGGGAGGCTGCACGGCCGTGCACGTGAGCAATATGGCCGTGCGCCTTATGCCGAGGACACGCACGGGCAACCCCTGAAGCTCGCACGGCCGTGCACCCTGGCCGTGCGAGAGGGCTGAAGTTCGACTAAATGACACGCTGCGTTTTGAGTTGCACGGCCAGAATGGTGATATGCACGGCCGTGCACCCTGGCCGTGCGAGTCGGGATTTCCTGGTTTTAAGCCAAATTCCGAACCAAAGAGAGAGAGAGAGCTGGGTTTTTGGATCCCAAACACCCAAGGGACGAACCCTAGAGAGAGAGAGCGACTTGGGAACATTCTTGGAGCTATTTTGAAGGATTTCTTCGCCATTGGAGCTCGGGAATCAAGCTTGGAGATGGAGATTGAAGATCTAGATCAGATTTCTGCAGTCTCTCTCTTCTCTATGGAGTAACTTCCCTTCACTTAGGTTTTGAGGAACCCTAGTTCCATGAGTTAGGATCTTTCTTGTATGAAGTTTTGGATGCTATATTGTTTGATTATAATCGAATGATGCATGTTTATTGAGTCAATTGAAGTCTGATCAACTTTTCCTGATTCCTGCTGCAATCTGAGATAGATAGAATCTGATTAGGTTGTTAGAACCTCATCATTCGGTAGTAGGAGATTGGCTATACGAGAGTTAGCCAGTTTACTGCTTTGTACTGGAATCCAATTCCAGTAGTGGAGTTCTGTTCTTACTGCTTCAGCTTTCTATCCCGGTGAAGACTAGTCGTCTGCCGGGTAGTTAGACTGAGAGGGCTTGGTCAGCTTAAGAGATTCCAAGCTACTATCGGATCTTCCGCAGTTTAATCAACAGTAAAACAATCAAAAGGAATTACAACTTAGACCTAATTGAGGAGCTAGGGGGAATCATACCTAAGTGAGTTCCCAAACTGTAATTAGTACTTTAACTTAGTTTAGTTAGTAGAGTAGTTTAGTTAATCAATCCTTAATCTAGTTTGCTAGATAATAAACTGAAGCTAAGTAATAGTAACTCTAGAGACCCGTGGATTCGATATTTATTACTTGTGCCACTATACTGCAGTCCCTTTCATTGGTTACACTTGGCCATTGTTAGGTGTTGTGTTTTGGCGTGTCACCTTATCTGCTTGCAGCCAGCAGTCCTCCGCCGGCGCCATTCCTTTCCGGCAACCAGTGCCCCTCTGCACAGGCCTGCACCCCCGCCATTAAAACCGGTTAACATGGTCTGTTGCGGTTATCACGGTTAACCGAGCAACTAAACGGTAACCGACCGGTCGGTTGTCGGCTAACCGATGCATTCCGTCGGGCGGTTGGAGGTGACGAGGCTGGCGTCGCGGTTAACCGGTAACCGACATTTCGGTTACCGGTTATAACCAATATAACCTAAAATCCAGCCCTACTAATTGCTAAGGGGAGAAGGCGCTGCTTGAACACATGGCAATCGTGACTCTTCATGCCTGAGATTTTTCTCTCCTTCATGTTGACACATCGAGAGTCTTTATATTTGTCAACATTCTGCACAATACTTCCTTCTCCTCTTTTGATAGAGTATAAAGTGCAATAGGAAGACGAGTTTTGCCCCCAACCTCCTTCTGATGTAGTTCTTCTCAAATTCCAGTTGTACCAAGTCCAATATACTTTTGTAAGAATCTTGACTTCCCCTTGATATCCATTATGGTCCCTTGCACATTATTGCACACATTTTTCTCAATGTGCATGACGTCAAGATTGTGGCGGATGAGGAGTGTCTTCCAATAAAGCAGCTCGAAAAATATGCTTTTTTTCCTCAAATTTTCCCAGCTATTAGTAGCATCATAATTGACTGGATTTTCTTTCCTTCCAAAAGGTACTTGAGTGAAAGTGCAACATTTCATAAGCACCTCATCTCCTGATAATGGATTTGGTTTCGCCCTGACCTCTCTCTCCCCATTGAATGCTGCAACATTCTTTCGCCATTTGTGATTAGGTGCCAACCACCTTCTATGAGCCATGTAGCACAACTTATTTGATCCTTTCAAGTACTGGGCGCTAGTGTCGGTATGACATGAAGGACAAGCCTTATAACCTTTCGTAGACCATCCCGACAAATCAGCATAAGCTAGGAAGTCACTGATAGTCCATAGTATCGAAGCACGTAGCTGGAAGTTCTTCTTGGAATGTGCATCGTACGTGTTAACTCCATCTTCCCATAATTCCTTCAGGCCCTTGATCATGGGTTGCAAGAATACATCGAGACCCATACCCGGGCTATGAGGACTAGGTATTATCATTGACATGATAAAATATGGTTGTTTCATGCACAACCAAGGATGTAGGTTGTACGGGATAAACACCACTGGTCATATACTATGTTGGGAGCTCATGTTGCCAAAAAGGTTGGAAGCCATCCGTTGATACAACCAGTCTAACGTTTCTAGGATCACTTGAAAAAGATGGGTATGCCTCATCAAATGCCTTCCACGCAGGAGTATCAGCGGGATGTCGTATTATACCATCATCACTTCTGCCCTCCTTATGCCACCTCATCTCATAAGCTGTTTTACCTGACATGAACAACCTCTGCGACCTAGGCTTCAAAGGAAAATATCATAATACCTTGTGTGGTTTTCCCTTCCCCTTGCTATCGAATGATGCATATCTAGGCAATTCACAAACTGGGCAAGATGTTGCATCTACATGAGGACCCCAGTATAGTGTGCAATTCTTCTCGCAAACATCGTACTTCTCATAACCAAGACCTAAATCAGAAATATACTTACGAGCACTGCTGAACGACTCGGGCAAATTAACCTTGCCATTAGGAATTAAGACCCTCAAAATGCCAAGTAAGTCATCAAATGACTTATTAGTCCACATGTGAATACTTTTAAGATGAAGCAGTTTCACAATCGTTGATAGTTTAGTTTAGTGTACTCGCAGTTTGGGTACAATTTTTCCTTAGCCTCTTGCAGCAAGCGATAGAAGGTAGCAGCATCTCGATTAGGTTCTTCTTCAGACTCTTCTATGTCCATCCCCAAATCTTCTTCTTGGCCTCTTGTGCCAAACAAGTCATCTACCAATCCTTCCATGTCATCAACAGTATCTTCAAGCATAGTATCATCATTTTGATCTTGGCTAGTGGTTGACCGTGGAGTATTACTACCTTCTCCATGGAAATTCCAAGTCGTATAATTCTCCGAAATTCCATTTTTCAGCAAATGAAATTCAACATCTGAACGGCCTTTATATACTGCATTTCTGCATTTTGTACAAGGACAACGAATGGCTTCTTTGTTGGCGGAATGAGAAAACGCGTAATCAATAAAATTATTCATGCCTTCCATAAATCCTGATTCTCTCCTATTTTGTATGCTCATCCAATCTTTATTCGGAATCATCTCCTGTTAAAAAAATATAAAGTATGAATTATGACACAAAATATATAGATTACATAATAAAAGAAACACTAAAATAAAATATTAATTGTTACGTACAATTCTAGAATATGATTAATTGAACTAAGCATTCTACCAAAAAAAACATTCAACCAAGCTTTTGGTGCGTGCAAATCACAGGGAATGGGCTTAACTTTTTCATTAATGAAAAGGATTGGGGGAAGGGTTGATTTATAGCAATAATTAAGTAAGCAATTTAGCATAATTAAAGCTAGACTAAACAATAAACTTCAAAAGAAACGAGAAGCAACCATGATTTTCAGTTAAAAAAAGGAGGAAACAAGAAGCATAATTGAATGAGGCTTTCAAAATCTCTAATTACAAGAAAATAGATAACCGACAGTTGTAAAATACCCTGATGGTTTTGTGCTACAAATTCCTCTTCTTGAACTTCTTCCTTTGCTAGTTTCAAGATTTATTGTACGAAAGTAAGTAGTAGAATCTGATGTTTAACGAACCAAAACTCACCTATTTTTAATGTAATAGTAACAATCTAAATAGGAAAAGGAACATAATAAAGTACAAATTCAAAAATAAAAAGGATGCCAACAACCATCACTTTAACAATTACACGTTCCAAGATTAAAAAGAAAAACTAAATGCAAAAGGAAATGGGCCTCCAACATCGAGAAGGAAAAGGTTAAACTTTAGTAGAGAGAAAATTTGAGAAGGAAAGGGCTTTCAGTTAGACGTAGAGAAGGAAAATGGCCTCCTATTTTTGGGACCACAAAAAATCTCAGCTAATTCGCTAGAAAGAAAAATTCGGCCCCATCTAATTTAATATTTTCGTTGGAATATTTTGGGACGAGTAAACTGACTTAATGAATTAATAAATCACATCCCCTATCTTTTGGGGACAGTTTGGTTTGCTTGTCCCCCATAAAACTTAAAATCCTAATTCCTGAGGCAATATAACAAAGCCGTCCCCAATATTGGTTCCCCAAAAATCTTCTTTTTTGTTGTGAACACCTTGTCGCAAATAACATACGATCAATGAGTTGGTTGAATCACTTGTCGACCGAAAGACGATAATTTAATCGTGGATTGCACAATTTTATGGACGACAATGAAAAGTGAATTCCCACTCTGTACAAGCGAACTTTGATCCGGCAAGAGGAAGGAAAACCAACGGAGAATGAATGGGAAGTTTTTCAAGAAACACATGCCCGGCCGAAGGGTAAGTTTGACTATGTGAGCACCTTTGATCTTGAGGTCCATTTCTAAATAAATTATTTATCCAGAAAATGACCATGAACGAAGACCAAAGAAGGACAACAATCATGAAGAATGGGAACGGTAGTAGATGAGAAATTAAGTCTGGTAACCATAGTATTTTGTTGTTTATACAGGACAAGAAAATAATTTGATTCAATCCTTTCAAAATTGACTTTGAAAAAAATATCATTCTTAGTCGCTTGATGTGTATGTCAATTAAGGATAAGGATTGAACGTGTTGTAAGTGTATCAACTTTTAAGCCAATCATCTTGCAGTCATTTGAGATGGAACTTGTGCAGGAGACTGTTTAAGCCAATCGATCGAAAATAAAATTGGATGTCGGGGGGAGATTAATTCGACGATGACAAAGTTGCTTGGTAGAAAGAAGGGATTGATGTTGTAGATATATCCTGCACCGATTAGGCTTTCGCGTGCCAGATTGACTGAGATTTTTTTTATTGACGCAGGGGAATTCGACCTTTTCTTTCTGGAGTTTGGAAAACTTAGTAAAATTGATTTAGCTGTCAGAGAGTTGATATTCTCGAATGTACCTGGGTGTTGGGTTGTGATTGGGCCGGTACAGGACGGGCAAACTTCGAACTCCTTTATCTCGTGTCTTGCTTGGCACAACATGTTAGTTTTTGTGTCGTGTAGTGTCAACCTATTTTTTAAATTTGTGCCGTGCCTACTCATACTCGTGTTGTGCATAATGAAAATTAAGACAATAAAAGGCGGAGTGAAAAAAGACAAGAAAATTGGATGGAGAATCAAAATGTTAATGGAGAATGTTTGAGAAAAATAACAAATAAGGACAATGAGAAAATTGAAAGTATAAAGGGTGTAATTTGGCATTCTTCAGCCATTTTTATTTATGTTAGTAATTACATATGATATTGTTGTCACCGGTTCGAAAAATAATAAATTATTATTTTTGTAGTTGTACTTTGTAATATTTGAACTAATAACTCTCTTTATATTAATTTTCTATAAAAAAAGTATTTTTTTCCTATCATATCGTGTCTATACTTAATAGGGTCTCATAAATATTAGGCCTGCACGACCAACTTATAAACTATGTCGTGCCCTTGCTCATGTCCGTGTCCACACATCAGGCATAATCCATAAATTATTCGTGCTCGACTGCTGGTACCAGAATAACTCATATATTTTGTGTCCATCCTCTTCCCATGCTATTTACTGTATCATGTGGTGCTAGTCCGCTGACGACCGGACCTGATGCCCAAATACATCTGCAACCTTTCTTCTTTGTCAATTAAGTGTCCGATAATTATAAAAGTTTTAATGAGAATGCCAAACACGTCACGCCTAAAAAATTAAGCTTGTACGAATTCAACTTGTGAATTTGACAGTGATGCAAGTTCAACGACATCGCGGCGGGTAATAACGCCGCCGATCTCAACGATGTCGCAAATTAAACAACATTGCGGTGGTCAGCGATGCCGCAAGTTCAGCGGAGGTTTGACAACGCCATGGAGGTTGTGATATGATCCCAATTGGATCAATCCACAATTCACAATTGCTTTCCAAAGAAGTCATCTCAACTCACTTGAAGAATTCTGATTTTTGGCCAAGTGTTGAAACAGTTTCAGGTAGCCTACTTTGGAAGTTTGTATCTCACACATGGCTCAATCAAAATGGGATATCTAGAGCTTATTTTGAAGGTAATGTTATTATTTTTACATTGGTATGTTTTGGAGCTCAAGGAGATGTCTGGAAGGTCACTTTCAAAGCCCATCAAAAGGCTATCTCAAAACAGAAAAACTGCCTAAATTTGGCTAAGGCAGAAAACTGTTTTGAGATACCAACTTTGAAGGCCTATATCTGGAGTTTGGAGCATGCTCTCAGACTGATTCAAGTTGGAGGTGAAATAGGAAGTTTTCTTATACAAAGGCAAGGAATTGGTTGAGTTCGAATCAACCTAGAAGACCATTTTCGAAGGGCTCAAAGATGCTATGAAGCCTGTTTTCCTAGGCAGACTTGCTTGCGTTTTAAGTCAGTTTCTTGGCCAGCAAGTTACCTTGTTTTGAACGAATTATTTAGCCTTTTTCTGTTCTAATTAGTTTCCTTGTTCATCTAGTTTTGTATTAGGTTTTCTTGGCTATAAATAGCCTTCTATTTTCGTTGTAAAAAGGCAGACTTTGATTAATCGAATTAAGAACCTTTTGGTTTTTGTGCAAGTTGCAACTTGTGTTGAGTTTGGTGGATTCCAAGCTCGTGAGCTCTTGTATTGTATCGATTGAATAGTCACTTCAATCGTGGTCGGGCATTTACCTTTTATACCAATCGAGCGTTCCCCAGGTGTGGAATCGTCCTTTTGGTTTTGTTTTATCCAAGTTCGTATTAAGAACACTTCGTTCTTGATTCGAGCTCAATTGATTCTTCGATTGAGTCGTTAGCTGCGTGACTTTGATAAACATACACCCCCCAGGGGCATATTAAGTGGTATCAGAGCTTCCGGTTCAAATCAGTGGCGATTTTTGAAGAATTCTACAGCAAAAACAGGGCAGCCATGGTGGTCGAATTGGAGCAAGCTAATTTGACGTCATACACGCGCTGTTTGGTGGCAGAGAAAGTATGTTCTGTGGTTTTCAATAGTAAGAGCAGATCGAACTTGATTAGCACGAGGGCAGTCTCTAAATTGGGGCTACCAACCCATAAGCATCCAGCCCCTTATTTATTGCCATTGTTGGAAGAAGAAGGTTCTGCTTTCGTGACAGAACAAGTTCTCTTGCAATTCAAAATTGGGAGCTATATAGACGAGGTTCTCTGTGAAATAGTGCCTCTAAAATTGACTCATGTCGTGCTTGGCAAGCCTTGGCACTATGATCGCAATGCTCAATGCAGCAGAAGAACGAATCACATCAGGTTGAGGCATTGTGCGAAGCTTTTTGCTCTAAAGCTTCTGTCGCCAGAAGAAGCTGCTGAAGATCGATCAACCCTGCTACAAAAGCTCCGTGACGAGGAGGAACAAGCTAAGGAAGTGGAGGATTCAGCTTGGGAGAAGCCGTTGAAGGAGCCGGAGTTTCAGCGCGTTGAAGAAAACCAGCTCGTCGGAGCTGAAGAACTCTGTTTTCTGTCAACAAAGCAGGGCATGAGAGAGAGAGAAGTGGGTGGAGACTTGGGGACTGAATCAATCGAAGCCGACACCGCCAACACACTCGTGGAAAGCCCAGTAACGAATACGCTGAGAGAAATCGCGTCAAAACAAGCTGAATCGCCGCATCCGATTCAGAGTAGAACTCCCCTGGAAACGGCAGAACTCGACATGAAAATGCTTGAATGAGATGGAGATTCTTGGGTTGATTCGACACCAAAGGCTGTTGTGGGATCATTTAAAACAATCCCCGGAAGCTATAGGATCGTTCAATTTACCGCGAAGACCCCTGAATTGAAAACGCCCAATTTGGGAAATTCAAACCGAATTGTGAAGAATGTCGAGTGCAAGAATGGTGAATCGGATGTAGCATTTGAGCAAGAATCGAGACAGTCTGACACTTGGGATCGATTCCTGGAGTTCCAAGGATGGTGTAGGTGCAAAGAAACCGGCACGAAAACACCTGGGTTAAAATTCCCCAATTCCAGTTGTGGGTCGCCGGAATCTGGGTTTGAGCTGCCGGATTCTGGGAATTCGAATTTTTCAGGTGGCGGGAAGTTTGGGAATCAAGATTTGCGACGAGTCGGAGAGAATCGAAGCGTGGGAATGGTGGAAATAATTCATGGGATTCCGGAGAGTCGAAGTTGATTGATGAATTCGACCAAGACAGCTCCGAGAAGAAACACCCAATTTTGGAGCCCTCGCCGGAAAATATGCATTTTTTTGGCCGGATTCTGGAAAATTGCAAGGCCTTGTTTAGGGTCCGATTTTGCACACTTTTTTCCGTGGGGAAGGTCCATTGGAGCCCAACGATTGCGTTGAAGCTCAAATCATGGCAAACAGCAGCAAGATCACAATTCGGCAATGATTTGAAGTTCGACATTACAAGTTCGAGGTACCTATTTCGTGACTCGATTTGGGAAGCATTTTGTGACATTTTTTACAAGAAAAAGCTTCAAGCTTTGAGGTCAAAGCTTTTTGAAGAGGGGGAGCCTGATATGATCCCAGTTGGATCAATCCACAATTCACAATTGCTTTCCAAAGAAGTCATCTCAACTCACTTGAAGAATTCTGATTTTTGGCCGAGTGTTGAAACAGTTTCAGGTAGCCTACTTTGAAAGCTTGTATCTCACACATGGCTCAATCAAAATGGGAGATCTAGAGCTTGTTTTGAATATAATGTTATTATGTTTACATTGGTATGTTTTGGAGCTCAAGGAGATGTCTGGAAGGTCACTTTCAAAGCCCATCAAAAGGCTATCTCAAAACAGAAAAACTGCCTAAATTTGGCTAAGGCAGAAAACTGTTTTGAGATACCAACTTTGAAGGCCTATATCTGAAGTTTGGAGCATGATCTCAGGCTGATTCAAGTTGGAGGTGAAATGAGAAGTTTTCTTCTACAATGGCAAGGAATTGGTTGAGTTCGAATCAACATAGAGGACCATTTTCGAAGGGCTCAAAGATGCTATGAAGCCTGTTTTCCTAGGCAGACTTGCTTGCGTTTTAAGTCAGTTTCTTGGCCAGCAAGTTACCTTGTTTTGAACGAATTATTTAGCCTTTTTCTGTTCTAATTCGTTTTGTTGTTCATCTAGGTTTGTATTAGGTTTTCTTGGCTATAAATAGCCTTCTATTTTCGTTGTAAAAAGGCAGACTTTGATTAATCGAATTAAGAACCTTTTGGTTTTTGTGCAAGTTGCGACTTGTGTTGAGTTTGGTGGATTCCAAGCTCGTGAGCTCTTGTATCAATTGAATAGTCACTTCAATCGTGGTCGGGCATCTACCTTTTATACCAATCTAGCGTTCCCCAGTTGTGGAATCGTCCTTTTGGTTTCGTTTTATCCAAGTTCGTATTAAGAACACTTCGTTCTTAATTCGAGCTCAATCGATTCTTCGATTGAGTCGTTAGCTGCGTGACTTTGATAAACATACACCCCCAGGGGCGTATTAGGTTGATGAACCCATGAAGGCTCGTGAGAGGAAGAAACCAAGGGATCCCAACCATGCAGGCCATGCAACGAAAGACGGGCCACCACGTGCCTGAAGGGAGGAAAGCCCATCTATGAGGAACCACTACTGCTTACGTCGGAATTTGTTATTTGTTTTGATATCATTCAGATTTGATTGTTGCTGGTACAATTTGATTTGTTTTCATATAAGTTAGGTGCAGGGAGATTATTTCTCCAGATCGTATGAGCTTTCCTTAGGTTTTACAACACTCTATATAAGGAGGCTGAATTGGAATAAGAAAACAACAGGGATTTGATGTAAAAGAAAAGAGCCAAAGTTGGCTAGCAATCACCGCTAACCCAATCAAATAACCCCTTTGATTTTGCACTTCCAACACTTGGTATCAGAGCCCATGCCTCCCAAACCCGCTTCCGGCGACAAGGAGAGGCTGGACTCCCTCGAAGCTAGTCTAGAGACTCTCCATGCTGCTGTCCATACTACCGTCCACGATGACGTTCGTCGAGTGGAGGGTACAGTCGCAGGACTAAGGGGATTGGTGGAAGCGTTGGGAGGACGGCTCCAAGCCCTTGAAACTTCTTCCGCTGCCACACAAGCAAGCGTGGATGAAACCCTACGTCTCATTCAGCAGCGGCGGATTCCAATTCCGAAAGGCAGACCGATCGTCGGCAGGATCAAGCCTCCGATTTCACCGTGGAGATAGGCGTGACGGAGGACCTGATGGGGGTCGCGACGACCGTCGCGAGCGAACTGATGATGGTCGTGACGATCGTCGTGATGATAGTCGGGAGCGTACTGATGAAGGCCGTGACGACAGCTGTGGTGACCGCCGTGAGGAGGGTCTTGACGGTCGTGATTTTGGCTCACCCTTCTACGGACGCCATGATCATCGACGCGACGAGGCATACCGCTATGGACGCTATGACCGCCAAGATGATTAACACAGACCCATGTTTCCGGTGCGATATGCCAAACTAGAATTTCCCCGGTTTGCAGGGAATGATCTCACGGAGTGGTTCACGTGAGTTGATCAATTCTTTGAATATCAAAAAGTCCCACTCGCGTCATATCACTTGGAAGTCGAAGCCAACCAATGGTGGCGTTGGTTGCAAAAGTCTTATATACAAGAAGGAATTCACGTGACCTGGGACTTGTTTGCTACGGAATTGTGGACTCGCTTCGGGCTTGTAGAAGAGGATGACGCCGATGAGGCATTGTCACGCATTCGTCAGACAAGCACCCTCCGGGACTATCAACGTGAATTTGAAAGGATGGGCAACAAGGTGCAAGGGTGGACGCAAAGAGCGCTTGTCGGGGAATTCATGGGAGGGTTGCGAGCGGAGATATAAGAGACCTTGCATCTCTTCCGACCCGACTCGCTTAAAGAAGCCATCTGCCTTGCCAACATTCATGATGATCAACTACGGCGTACGAAACCTCCCTCAATGCCTCCGATCGTGAAAATGGCGGGTGATGGAGCTCCTAAGGCATTCAAAGAAAATCAGGTACGAAGCCAAGCTCAGCCCGCACGGCGTATTCCATGGGAGGAACAACAACTCAGCAAGGCAGCTGGTGTAACACCCACGACGTTTCTCTATTAAAATCATTTAAAATACATGCACGTCATCAACTAGTTACCAAAATCATTAAACTTTGGGTTCATACCAAAAACTTCGAGAAAGCTCGTCTACAAATATCTCATGTAAAACAATGTGGAGAGCTCAGCCTGCCGCCCACCTCGTCATCATCAAGCTTAAACTTGCTCCGTCCCGTTGCCTTTCCCCATTTAGCTATTGATCTGGGAAAAATATTGACGGGGTGAGACGTCACTCAAGGAGTAAATGATAACCTAATACAAACATCAATACCAAAATAGTACGAGTGATGTTGTGCCCCCGAAGTATTTTCCTATCATTCATGACTTATTCATATAACTTACCATATTAACACAACCGACAATACATAGTCACATTCAGCCATGGTTTCATTACACATGTCATATATCACATCATAGGAAGTCATCACATAACCTCATCATTGGAAATCCTTATACAAGGATTCAATCACATCACGTTAAGGTTGATTTAGTGGCTTTTACTTCATTAGCTTGCCAAATCATACACTCTTCCAAGATATAGGAATGGGATTACACTGGTTCCAATAAAACATATCACCGCGGAACGTATCTCAGCCCGGTGCCATTATACCACTGCGGGACGTACCCAGCCCAGTCTCATTATATCACATACCACCGCGGAACGAATCACCGTCCGGTGTCATCATACCATGTTCTCCCTTTTCCCATATCCTGTGTTGAGTGTACAACAAGGCAAACTTTATGTTTGGTTTAGGTGACCATGCCATCATATTTTCATGTATGCCCTTAAGGCCAACCATTTCCCTTTTATATATAGATAGTATACTCTTAACCATCCTCATGTATTTCTCATTCATATGCCTTATAGGCCATTTCCATATTCTAATCATGCACTTTCGTTCTAAGCAAGGTATCTTGCCTATCATTTCACTTTAGCACCTCAAATGTTACTCTCTGTTTCATGTACCCGATATCTCATTTTATATCACATCGTCATAGCCCATACATCATACCGAAAACCATCATGCAATATATTATACAATACATGTCACATACCAACATGATCATTCAAGTAATTATGCACACATACAAGTCATCATCCATTTTCATACAAACAACACTATGATATCACACGAATCAAACAATACTAACTTACCCTGTACTCGAGTCACTTCATGACCCGAATACTATAGTCGTATTAATATAAGCATTAGGTTAAGATTTACTCACACATAGTCGTTTGCTAGCTCCGGAAACCCGATTCTTAACCACCGGAAACCCGATTCTTAACCAAGGTTTCACCTAGCGCCTGCCCTTCGCATAAAAGCATACAATTTAAGTATCCCTACGAAATACATATAGTATTTAAAGAAATGTGTATTCCAAAACATTAGTTAGTTACCCTATTCATTGAGATCAATATTATATGCATATATAAATAAATTATGTTAGCTATGGAATACATACCTATAGTTTACATGAACTTATCTTGGAAAAATCCCCCATTTTCCAATTACGTATTTATTGACAGGGGAAACCTCATTATCATGAGTTTCTCACTTATGCAAACTTTGAGATATATATAGTAATTATCCTATTGTTGTTTTTCATAACTACTTGATTAGCATGATTATTATATGGGCATGCTTATAACTATAATTAAGTATGCTTAAGATTACCCATTTACATGGAACTCCCTAATACTCTGCTCTGCCACACTACTGCCAAGTAACCCTCTCTATTTAAATAAACCCTTACTTTACCAGTAGCAACTAGCATGCATGCAAATCATGTAACCAAGAAAGACAAGGTAATTCAAGGTTAAATGATACTAAAAAGAACTAGCAATAACCTCATTTTATTATAATGATTTCCGAGACCACCTTTTCCATTATACCACTAACTTTGGATTACTATGGAAGGGAAGTGATCATGATGCATGATACCTGATTTAAGCTGTTGACTCCTTTGCTAATTTCACAAACCACTAATCTCTCTTCTAGCCATAGAGAAAACGAGTGAAGTGGGGGCTTTGGTGGGTATTTTTCGGTGGGAAGAGAGCACAACTCCCTCTATGCAAGGACTATAAACAAGTTGAAAAAAGGTTGGGTGGTCGCGATGTATGGGGAAAAGGCTTAAGGGCCTTTTTATGCTCACTTCCTCAAGAGGACAGAAGTGCTGGCGATCACTTCTCTACAACCCTCTTACTCACTAAATTCCCTAACCCTTGTCACTAGCTAGCTATCCCACGTGTTGGAAATTGGTCATGATGGAAGGTATCCCATGCATGCTTTTACCCAAGAAAATTGAATGTAAGGCACAATTATACGTGCCATGCTCACAAAAGTTGCACTTGGCCTTTACATCCTACCTAAGGAAGCCAAATGGACAACACGTACAAAATGAAATAATGGTCCCTTATAGGGTTAATTTCAAGTTTGGTCACTGAGTTACTAAAAACGTTCATGTTTAGTCACTCGAAATATTTAAATCCATTAGTGGTCAGTAGCTTTATTACAAACATTCACGTTTGGTCACTCTCCGTTAGTCGCCGTCCATCTCCGTTAACAGAGGTCGTTAAGTGCTGACGTGGCGGACAGAATCATCTAGTCTGCCCTATTTAACCCAAAA